GGTGCACCTGCATGCCGGGGCGAAACAATCCGACGATAACCGCGCCGACGTGTTTGAATCAGACTGGTGTGTGCCTCTCCCAACAACTAACAACAACAACAACACGTTGTTTAACTCCTCCCCCTTTCCCTCTCCACGGTTCCCTTTAACTTTCCCTTTCGTTCCCAATTCTTTTCCCCCTCGTAATCGAATTAGCCGAGCAGTCCGCCGGCAGCTCGGCAGCATGTTGCCAGGTGATTTCATTTCGGTTTTCGATTCTAATTCTGCAATCCGGAGGCCGGGGCGCAGGCCCGGGTGGCGGAGTCGTGGAGTGTGTGTGTGTGTGTATGGTGGGCTGCGCGTGGAGGGCGCCGAACCAGACTCGGCAATCGTTCACGTGAAAGTGACGATGACTGAAATAAAAAACTGTATTTGTGCCCCTCTGACGAACTCTTTTGCTGGCAAGGGCTGACAGAATTGTGGCATGCCACGGCTGTTCTTCCGTTTTTGTAAGGAGCTCTTCTAATTTTATTGTGATCCACGCTCGGAATTTTAAAAATAGACCGTTGCGACGGCAATTTGGCAACAGCGCAAAATTTTCTTTTAAATGTAATCTGGGCATGTTTCTGAAAAAAGTCCAACACTCAGACATAGTGAATTTTCTAAGGATTCGATTGGTGATGAGTAATTGTGTTGACAATCACTCTAAAACCTCCAAATCGAGCAAAGAAAATCCGATATGCGGTGTTGCCATGTTCCGGGCGCAACGGTCTATTGAAAAAGGCTCCCTACCGACCCCACAGAAACAATCACGCATAAAGATAATATAAAATAGTTAATACAGCAGTATGTTTTACCATTCAGCCATGAATAGTAGTCCGACAAAGTAATGTTGAGGTTGTGGAAGTATGAATGCCGAGCGTTGGAGCCGCGGCCGCGACCAACGAGACGAGGGAAATGTGAAGGGCAGCGACGGAGGGGCGCGCTCGAGATAGGGTTACTGAGTCCGCCCGCGGCCGCACGAGCCGAGCCTCGCGAAAGTGAAAACAAAGAGGACGCGGGACTGGACTGGCGCGCCCATGTCGGGGCTCAAAACCAACAACGAACCCCTTCTCGGCGCTCATTATCGCGGGAAAAATTGTCAAAGCTCATTACAACTACGAGTTGGCGACGCCGTCGTCGTCGTCGTCGTTGTTGTTGGCGTGCGCGTGGCGTCGTGGGCCCGGCCAACTCGGTGCGCGGCAACTCGTAAGTGGGTTATGGCATTATCGCCGCGACCGCTTGAGGCCGCGACACACGGGACGGGCGGGCGCCGCCCGGGGGGCGCGCTGCTCTCCGACAAGTCCCAGGTGGTGCGGCCCCTTCGAACCCCTCTGTGGCGAGACTGGGAGCGGCTCGTGCGCGCACAACAGTCCGCCCCGCCTACTGCTGGCCTTCTACAACACCCACTCTCTTTTCTCCGAACCTTCCTCCGCGTTTTTTCTTTGTGGATCGCGTGAATTTCGGTCGGAGCGGACATCACGGCTCCGCCGTGTGTTGTATCAGTCGCCACGCAGGCGAGTCCTCGCCCTCCTGCCGCCCTCATCGCCACCCTCCTCATCGCTGTCCTCTCATCCGGCCTCGACTGAAATAAACCGACCCCGTCGACGCCCTCCCCAGCTTGTCCTCTCCGTCCTCCCCACAGCCGCATCCCGCCTGCCTCCGCGTGACTTTTAGTTTTCCCGCTCATTAGCCGCGCGGAGAGGGCAGGCGTCCTGAAATTGCCCCAAAGGGGAACGGCCCTGGAAGAGTCGCAGCAGGGACTCGGGGAGGCGTCGCCCTGGAGCTGGCCGCCGACGGTACTTACTGGGGTCCGTGGCGGTGCGGTGGCCGCGCGGGCTGGGCGGTCGCTGCGTCCCGGTCAGGCCCCGGCCCCGGCTGCGGCCCGCCCTCGGCCCGCCTGGGGTCCGCGACGACGAACCCGTGCTGGAGGCGACGCGGCCGCACACCTTCGCGACGGCTGCCGCGCCGCGCCACGCCACTGGCACTGGCACCGTGCAGGGGGTGAGTGAGTGAGGCGGGGTGCGAGGGAGGGAGAGGGAGAGAGGTGGAGAGAGGGCGACTGATCGCCGGGGCCGCGCGCTGATGACTGGGCCGCTGCCGCTCCGCGCTGCTCCGCGCCGCCGGGCGGGGCTGCCAGAGCGGGCTGCGCCGGACTCGGAGGAGAGGCGGCCGCGAGCTGTGCGCCGCCGGGGGCGGGGCGGGGCGGGGTGTGGCGGGGCAGGAC